AATGAAACATCCACCACTAGGATTAGCTACGATATTGGGAGATTAGGAGTTGAGCGCTTGGGTAGTGTGCTGGTGGATACTATTATGGTCAGAGTAGAGAAGATATGTCTTTCCCTGGGACGTGCGAGTCAGCAATAGCTACCCAGCATTTGTTGGCATCTGACAGCGTGGACAGGGAAATGTCGTCCATCATACTGGGGGACCTAGATTGGGCTGTGGCAGTAAGGGGTCAAATGTTTAAGCCGTTACTATATACTGTAGTAGTATTAGTGCTGTGCCATCTACCAGACAACTACTTACGGGCAGCCAATGATTAGGTGAGCACCCCTTGGCTCAGAACCAAGGATGAGGGTACACCGATGGGGTATAATCACCTTAGAATGGCGGACGGTTGACAAGCATAGTGGGCGGCCCTAATCAGATACATCCCCTGGTCAATTGGATAATTTAGGCAGGGGGGATAATGGCTGGCATGGAAAAAATATACCTGTACAGACAGGAACTAACAGCTACCATGCTCTGATTGCGGAAACCCCTGGAGTTAGTGCTGCTCTGTTGTCTGGACCCTGGGACGTAATTCCTTCAAGATGCCCCTCTCGATTCCAGTAGACTGTTCCCTTGGGCCTTGGCATAAACAAGCACTCCTGTGAACGAGCTGCCTATTTAACGCACAATGGGCTGCTCTAAGGGAGTGAACTTTCCATCTCACGCAGACTTTTGGTCTTTAGCAGTGTTCAGTAATTGAGGTCCTGTCTAGTCCCTCTAGGTTACAGGGAGATAGATTATTTTGCGGTCAATTTGTTGAGCTTTGCAACCAAACAAGTAAACAAACAGTGATAGTTAATGTCAGGATGCTAGCAGGAACCATGGCAACAGTAATTAGGAAGCAACAGCCAGTGCACCACTGCTTTCAGCATGTCCAAAGAGTGCATCTACCTCTGAAAAATTATTAAATAATTGAATGGTCACTCAGTGTTTGCACAGGGTTCGCAATCAAAACCATCCAAATGGGATGCCCGAAACATGGTAAGAACATTGAGACCATGCGGTAAAAACAATTGTCGGGTACAACAGAGGGTCTAGGAAGATAGCATTTTCCACGCCTCTCCACCCCCACCTGTAATCACGGACTGGTCGAGATGGTCGCACGTCTAGTGGACAGAGTTCGCAGCAGAATCCAACTCACTTTTCAACACGTCAAAGGACACAGTGGCGAACACGGCAATGAGGCAGCAGACCGCTTAGCGGAAAGAGGTACACATTCGCGCATTTCCCCACATTGCACAGCATGGACCACACCGCCCGAGGGACCTATGGGACAACCCCCTGCACCACCGAGGCCTCCACCGCGCCCAAGAGTGGCCTATCGACGACCCGCAGCAGCGCTGCGAACATGTGAAAAGTGCGACCAATCTTTCAGCCTGGGCAACTATAACCAGCATGTCCCAACATGTAGGGGACCAGGCAACGCCAATTTCACATGCAAATATTGCCCCAAAGTCTTTCAATCCGTTCTCGCCCGGAAAAACCACGAAAGAAATAGTCATTCAGCACAGGCTTTGGCGGATGGGCTTATCAGCAAAATCCCCAAAAGAGGAAAACATTGAACATGCACACCGCAGCAATCTCAAACTCAAATGTGGCATCTCGTAGCAATTGTTGCGTTCGCGCTCTGCTATTCCCCCCTGCCATGGCCGCGCCCCCAACCCGTAAAGTACAAGTGTCCAACCAGCTTAAAGACCATAAAGCAAGACTGGATGCAGTCGAGGAACGACTACACCGGGTGGAGCTGGTACAAGAGCAACAAGAGGGTTACAGACGACTCCGGGTTGAGCACGGGGACAAAGTCAAACAAGTGTGGGAAAAATTTGAACGCAAAGAAATCGACGGTAGGGATCTCAAAGCGGAAATCGCACGAGCATTGGCAGAAGATGTTCAATCGTCCCTGCTCCAACCAACTGACCCTGAAGCACTGGAACAAAAAGCCAGAACGCTGTCCAATAACAAAAGGGGGGCCCTCCCACAAACCGATCGGGAACACCTGGTTCGGGACATGGATATCACAGCACACCTGGAATGGGTCCGTAAAGACAAGTCAGGGGCAATCGCACTCATACTCAAAAGAGGTGAACCCTCCAGATTGTACTTTGAAAGGATCAAACATGACGGCAATTGGGCTCTCTTTGTGGCCTCCAGGATGCAGGAACCCCCAAAAGGTATCCAAATCTACCCCGATCGAGGCCCCCTATCAAGGCGTAAAGGACAAGGAAAAGGTAAAGGAGGAGCAGCCTCCGGGAGCAGGCGCAGAGGAAAAGGGAAGGGAAAGGGGCGCAAGGGCAACCACTGATGGTTCTCAGGCGCGACACATTTGTCGGATGTCACATAGATAATAGATTTGAGAGCCACCGATAACTCCCTCGTCTTTACCCTCCATCACCTCCCCCCCACTTCTCTTTACCCTGATCCCGACACTACTCGCACCAGATCGCACTGGGTACGTCCCGCGATCTTTTAGACCCCCTCAATGGGCACGACCCGAGGGGGACAGAGTCCAGAGTAGTGGGATCCCCAATACCTTTCCTGGGGTTTTCCAACTCTTCGGTCCTCCGGACCAAGTGTGCAACCTCTTGTTTGATCCCGCTTCCCCTTTTCCATGCCACGACATGTTCTCTTCCATGACCTCCTCATTTCTTCAATCATTTCTTCAAACTTGTATGAAGAGTCACCTCCCTTACGGGCTTGGACGAGACACATATTTGATTTGAAACTGTTCATGAGACGTACAAAGTCACGTCGGGTTTTGAAACATGGCACAATGACCGCTCTCAGACAACCGCTCTGTTTCACTACCAGCATACATTCTTGGCTGTGACACGAACATTTTCCGCTGTGCCTGCTTGTAATTCCCAATAACTGGTGTGTTTTGATGTGACCACTTGTGTTGTGACTCTTGTGGACAATCCGGACTGGTCCGGCGCGCGGACTTGACCTGAAGCTTTCCTGATATGTTGGAGGTCGCTCCATGGTGCAAGCTACCTTCGCCGCACACCATCATCATCTGATTCCAATGTTGTGCCGGGCGATCCGTGAATTCACTGAGCGACGCCGCGGCTGTGAACAGCCTCTATGTGCGTGGAGAAAAAAATATACATATATATATACATATATATATATACATATATATATATACATATATATATACACACATATATATATATATATACACATACATATTTATATATATATATATACATACACATATATATATATATATATATATCCGCTGGTTATTTAGCATAGCTACGAAAAATTACACCATAGCTTCATAAATCAATGGTCCATGGAGTCCATAGCGCAGATGAACCTGGATGCCGTGGGCGGCTTGCTCGTGGCGGTGGAGCTGTCTCGTTGACAGACACAGATGTAGTGGTCATGGTGACATGGGAATTGACAGAGAGTGGGACTATTGTTTTCGATTAGGTGAGCAAATCATTGAATTAATTACTATAAAATATATACTTAAAGAGAAACCCTTTATAGCAATTAATGCTACCAGATGCCACCATATGAAGTTGATTACACACATACTCATTTTTACAAACTTGTTTGTAAAGACTTGAACATTAAGGAGTGCTATATAGGTCATACTACCAACTTCAAAACACGAAAACAACATCATAAACAATGGTGTCTCAATGAAAATGGGAAACATTACAACTTATATGTCTATCAGTTCATATGAGCAAATGGGGGGTGGGACAACTGGGATATGATATTGATTGAAACCTCAAACTGTGAGAACAAACTTGAGGCAAGAAAAAGGGAAAGGGAGTTTATAGAAAGTCAAAATGGAATTTTAAATATGATTAAAAGACCGTATGCCACTGAAGAAGAAAGAAAAGACAAAGTCAGAGAATGGAATGAAAACAATAAGGAACATAGAAATGAACTGCTACGAAGCATCAATCAAAGGTTAAGAAAACAGCACCCTGAAAGGTTTAAAGAATATGACACAAAGAAATGGAAAAACATAAGGAGAGAATACAGGCAAAGCAAAAACAAATAATTGAATGTCAATGTGGGTCAAAATATCAACACTGTCAAAAGGCAAGACATTGTAAAATTAAAAAACATCAAGAATATCTAAATAACAATATAGAAAATGTTTCAAGCACACAGGAAGAAACAAACAACGCTGAACTACAAAAAGCAAATGAGCAAGCCAGCAGGGAAACCATCGGGGCAGGGGATATTCAAACACTATGACAGTGCCTACCTCAAATGGTTAAAAGACCAACTGGATAGAAGAGAAACTATGGACAAATTATTATCTTATAGAAATGATATAATTGAAGCAAATAAAAGGGTAAATTACAGAAATCAAATAGACAGAATTAATAATGAAATGCGAAGGGACAACCTCACGCACAATTCATTAGAACATTTACAGCATCAAATAAATCAATTTAGAAATTTCAGTTTTACTTGATATAAAATATTTTTATCTAGAATATTTTATATTATAATGGCAAAAGTGGATAAATATAGTATTTGCGTGTGAGAATTTCATGCATCCCTATTTATCCAATTCTCAAATGGAAATACTTCCACTTTTGCTTTGACTACTACCCAACGGGTGTAGTCCAGACTACTACCCTCCGGGTGTAGTCTAGGAATCTTGAAGAACCTGCATCTGGGCCGGACCGAAGCCCTTTAGATGTCAAGTGGCACAAAGGTGCGTCAGCTGGCAGCGAGGTGGCTGCTTGGAGTTTTGGGGAAACTTGGTTTTGTTTTTTGGGTTGAAACATTCTTTTTCCGGTTGGAGTCGAGATCTCAGTTGCTGTTCAGGGTTCCAGGACGGTTCACTTGTTGGCATTGGGAGGCTTCAGGAAACACAGGTTATGAGCCCAAGGAGCTTGTGTAAACCCCCAAAGACTTCTGACATGATGCGTAGACGTAGACCGGATGGCGGCGCTGTCGATGGATCTGGCGCTGAGCAGATGATGGCAGCTGGCGCTGAGCAGATGGCGGCAGCTGGCGCTGAGCAGATGGCGGCAGCTGGCGCTGAGCAGATGGCAGCGGCTGGCGCGGTGCAAGCGGCGGCAGCTGGTGATCGGCAGATGGCGGCTGTGGGCGCTGAAGGCGATGCAGCACAGGCGCTTGGGGCGAGAGGAGATGCAGCTGAGAGAGGCCTGGAACTGGTTGGACAAGAACTTGTACCAGCTTCTCAAGCCTTGGCCTTGAGGACACCGGATGGGTTGGAGAAAGGGCGAGGGTCAGACGCTGCAAAGGGCTCTAGGTCACCAAGGGCAGCCACAGAACCAGTTAGCCAGGGTCAGAAGTCAAAGGAGGGTTCAGTCAGAGGCCAAAAAGGAACCCCAAAAGAAATAGAACCAGAGAAGCGTCAAGAGATGGCAACACCCAGTGGACAGCCAGTTTCACTAGGTCCCCATTCCTTTGTGACACCAGAGGGACAGGTCCAAAGTATGTTGCCACTTTTTTCACCAGAGCAGACGGTGAAACTTCATGAGATCCACCAGATGCCTTTTGCATCGCCTGCGGCTTCATGGAATGGTCCTGCGGTTGGAGAACATGGACACGGGGGAGCTGAGCGACAAGCAGTTCCAGGTTGGTTCACAGGGTTGCTTCAATCAGTAGGATCTCAGCAAGGTGAACATGAGGCGAGGCAAAGGGATTACATGTGGAGAATGCAAGTTGAGCATGGCATAGAACATCTAGGGGTTCAGTTGCGTGCGGCACAGCATGAAAACCAAAGACTTCGTCAAGAGCGTCAAGAGTTGTTGGAAGCCTTGGAAAAGAAGGGATCGTCGAGGTTTACCACACCAGATGACAAAGCAGCCAACATGTTGAAAAAGGAGGAAGGGGCAGAATCCCGGCAAGAAAGACCTTCCAAGGAGGAAGGGGCAGGTGCCCGGCAAGGAACACCTTCTAAGGAGGAAGGGGCAGAGGCCCGGCAAGACAGATCTTCTCAGGAGGATGGGGCAGAAGCCCGGCAAGAACAGTCAGAGAGCGATTTGTCTTCTGAGGAGCCGCAAAGAGCAAGCAGGCCAAAGGAGAGCGTTGACAAGCAGTCCATGAGGATCATGCTCAAGTTGATGGAGGGCATGCAGGAGCTTCAGAAACAGATTGTGATCTCCAAGGAGGAAGGAAAAGGTGATGAGATTGAAGTGGTGCGCTATGTGGCGGATCTCCCAAAACTTGCTGAATGGAATCCGGAGACGGCGCCCATCGATTTTGGTGATTGGGTGATTTGTCTGCATCCTCATATGGCAGACTTGAGCTCAACGAGTGAGATGTGGTGGGACTTGACCCTCTCAACAGCGAGGACTTGGTATGATCACCACATGAAGCTGTCGCCAATTGAGAGGTTGACGAGCACACCAAGGCCTACACCAGAGTTGCAGCAGAAGAAGTGGTCCCGGCTGGAAAGAAGGGCTTCGTCCTTGCTCTTGAATGCGTTGCCGCAGACGATGAAAGAGGAGGTGATTGCGGCGAAGTCCATCACAGCTTTGGGCATTTTGTCTCGTGCGATGCTGCAGTTTCAACCTGGAGGGCTGACAGAGAGAAGCGCTATTTTGACGGCGCTGGAAGCACCTATGGAAGCTGCAACCGTGGGTTCAGCCATCCAACAGCTGAGACGTTGGATGAGATGGAAGCGCCGGGCCCTTGAAGTTGGAGTTTCAATTCCAGACAGTTCAATTTTGATGAAGGGATTGGGACGTTTGGTGAGGAAAATTGTTTCCAGTTACCCAGATCTCAACTTCCGCTTGTCGTTGGTCAAGAGCTCATTGTTGGTGGAGACAGTTCCAACGTTGGAGACAGTGACCCAGTACAGCGAACACCTTCTTGCAGAGCTGGAGCAGATGGGACAGCAGGCAAAAAGGAAGGAAGTGATGGCAGAGAGCCAGCCAAAGGTGAAGAAGTTTGAGGAAGCCTCGGGAAGCAAGCCTGAAGAAAGGACCAGGCCGAAGGGGAAGCCTCAAGAGGAGTTTGAAGGGAGGAGGAAACCATGTAGGTTTTACCTCACAGACTCAGGTTGCCGAAGAGGTAGAGGATGTCCTTTTGGACACCAGTTGGATGGAGAAAGAAGGTGTTGGACATGTGGAGGAAAGGACCATATGGCCACAGCCTGTCCGACCACAGAGGAGTCCAAGCCGAAGGCAGCAAAGTTTGGTTCCAAGACCCCAGAGAAGGATGTGAAGTCCGCTACAACATCTCCTGAAAAGTCCGAGGAGCAGTCTGAGGCCACGGGTAATGGAGGAGAAGAAACTATGAAGTCGTTGCTGGATGAAGCAAGTCGGATGCTCAAATCAATGAATGAAGGAGATGTCAAAGAAAAGAGACAGAAAGGGGAGGACGCACAAGAAAGGATCTTGGGCCTACAGAAGCAGCTGGATGAGCTCAAGAAGGCTTCTATGCGACCCTTTCGCATCTCCAAGTTGTGCCCAATGGTGAACAAGGGCTTACTGGACTCAGGGGCAACACACCCTTTGCGAGCCAAAAGAAAGGGAGAACGTCTTCACCATCTACCAAAGGTCAAGGTGACGCTGGCAGGTGACAAGGAGATCTATATGGCACTCACTCCAACGGGAGTCATTGTGGGCGAAGAAGGCACGGAGCCCATAGTGCCCATGGGATTGCTGACTGCAGTCCTTGGATGTGAAATCTCATGGAAGCCAGCAAACTGTCAACGCGTTGATAGTGCTTTAAACCAAAAGCGAAAGTAGAAAAAATCATGCCGAATTTTTCTAAGCCCCGCAAACAACTCTCCTGCCAAACCGCGCAGCGATGAAATCAAATGCCTTGGTGTAAACCTACTTGAAACCAAACCTACTACCTGTAAACTTACAATCAAAAAGTAACATGCCCGGCTCTTGAAACTAACCAGTTTCAAACCGTGAGCAGCTTGTTGCCAAACAACCTTCGAGATGTCACCTGTGCATGTTTCATGTTGTGAAGTTCTCATGTTTTCACGTTCAACATTGTGATGCCTTTTTGGTTTCAAGTAAATTTTCCTTCTCAAGATGGTTTTGTGCCATCTAGTCCAATGAAAGGGCCCGTTCAGAGGGGACGCGTTGCAGTCGGATCTCAGATTTGTCTTGGACACTCTCAGACTTCCAGTGAGTGCAGACTTCACTGGTGTTTCTTTTTCTTTTTCACTGCAGGTTTTAGCTTCGGCTGGATCTTGTGCTTTTGGTGGCTTCTTTTCGGACAATAAGGGGGTGATGGATTTTTCAGAAAATGACTCACCGAGTATGTCTCAGGAGCCAGGTGTTGCACTTCATGGACCCAGTTTTGCTGATGGTGGTTTACAGTTGGAAACACCAAACCTTTTTGGCGACCTCACCACTGATTCCCTTTACCCTGATGATTGGAGTCCCCTCTCGCCACGCTTTTCAGGTGAGGATGAACCTGTCAGCAATTCTGCACGAGCGGTGCCTGGTGAGTCTGTGGTTTCAGACAGTGCTGCACTTGATGTATCTTCATTTCAACCTGTGGTTCAGCAAGATGTTCATGATTCACTTTTTGCACGCAACCTTTTGACAAACTGTGATGTTACTGGTATAGTTTTGCCATGGGAATCAGGGATTTTTCGTGAGTTGCTCAGCGATGATCCTGTCCAGTTGGTCCCCAAGATGCCAATCAGCAATATGTGCCAGCTGTCAATTGGAGATGACCCACAACAGGTTGCGGCTGCAATTGCAAGCGTTGCATCAATAGATGTTTCTGACCCAGTTTTCTCTAAGTGCATTTCCAGTGGGGATGATGCGCACTACCATGACATGCGTCGACAACTCAGAGAGGCTGCAATAGGGAAACTTTTGATTGTTTTACGCCATTGCCTGCTTGCAAGTAAAACTGGAAGACACATCATTAACCTTGGCACTGATGCACAACAACAAGCTGGAGCCTTTGACATTGTGGACTCTGTGATTGGAGTTAGATCACCAAACACTGTGGTGAAACGTGCAAACGCCCTGCTTTCCTTTTTGCGTTGGGTCGCAAAGACTGGCATTGATGAAGTCAATCCTTTTGTCGAACCAGTGGTCTGGAGTTATTTTCAACATTTGCGCAGCTCTGATGCAGCCGCGTCCAAAGCTGATTCATGCCTCTCTGCCTTCAGGTTTGCATTTGACATTTTAGGTTTTGAGAGCCTTGAAGGCGTCACCAACAGCAGACGCCTTGTGGGACTGTCTGAAATTATGCTTTCAGGGAAACGCCTCCTCAGACAGGCGCTTGTTCTCACAGTGCACCAAGTGAAATGTCTCCACATGATTCTACGTGACAAACGCAGACATGCCACTGACCGTGCACTTGTGGGCTATGTGCTGTTTTGCTTGTATGGACGATGCCGAAACAGTGACTTGCAAGCCATTCACAGGATTGAACTTGATTTCAGCGATGCTGGTGGGTTTGTTGTAATTACAACTTGCAACCACAAGTCTGGCAGGATGGCTGCGCTCAAGACGAAGTTGCTGCCTATTGTCGTTCCTGCCAGAGGTGTGGACGGTTCAATCTGGCCTCAAGAAGCTTTGGATGCCATGCAAGATGCTGGACATGTTTTCCAAGATCCTATTGATGGACCGCTTTTGCATGCGCCTGCAAATGGTTTTGGTGACTTCATGAAACGAGGGCTGCGATCATCTGAAGTATCGGCTTTCTTGAGGAAGACTTTGAACCTTGAGGAACCCGTCAAGGGATCCGGTTTTGAGGTGGTGTCAAGCCATAGCTTGAAGGCAACTCTCCTGGCTTGGTGTGCGAGATTCGGGCTGTCACCTCAGACACGCTCCATGCTTGGCAGGCACAGTTCATGTCTTGCAGAAACCTTTGCAATTTATTCAAGGGACCTGGTTTGTGCACCGGTAGTCGAACTGCAAGGCGTCATTGATGCGATTTACGATGGTTCTTTCTTTCCAGATGACCAGAGGTCTGGCTTTTTCAGACCCCAGAATGTTGATGCAGGATTGCCCCAAAATGTCAAGCTTGAGCAAGCGACTTTTGATGGCGCCGTCTCCGTTTGCAGCTCACAATATGAGCCCAGTGTGGCCGATGGTGACGCTCATGTGGATGCTCCTAGTCCTGGCCCTCCTGTTTTGAGGGGCCATGACCCTGATGGCACCGCCTCAAAGAATGCTGACACCATGAATGTGGAAAATGGCACCCCTGACCATGCCTCTGTGCCTGTTGATGGTGAAGATTCAGATTCTTCTTCGAGTGGAAGTGACGCCCTCTCATCTGACCATTCAGATGTTGCTGAACCGCCAGCAAGAGTGAAAAGGTTCAGAGCCAGGATTCCAAAAGAGGAAAGCTGGTACGTGCACTCCAAGTCGCACTTGATCCATCGTTTTGATGGTACGCGCCACAACACAATGAGGTTTCTTGTTTGTGGGAAGCTGCTCACTGATGCATATGCACTTTGCACAGAAGCGACTGCGTGGAACACACTATGCAGATCGTGCAATAGGCGGTAGAATGGCCGCTGTCAACATACTGATCATGCATGGGCTTAAAAAAGGAAGTGCAGCGTTGACAAACCGTCATCCCATTGATTTGACATCATGCCCGTTTCAATGGAGGGTGAACTCCAGTGGAAACCAAGTTTGGCAAACCGCCTTGCTATGTTGTGGTTCAAGGTGAAAATGCATGGGAAGTTGACCACATGACAAACTGTAGGAATGCCTTTTAATAAGAGAAAAATTTCTTCAGGCGTCCAGGCATCGATATGTTCTTCAAACATCATGTTCTCTCCTTGCTTGTTCTTTTGTTTGAACCCTGGACCCAAATTCTGCTTGTTAGCGATGGCTTCCATTGTGGATTCAGAAGCGCAGTTCGAGCTACGAATGGAACAAGTTAGGCTCCCAGCTGCGCTCAGACTGGCTTTGAGAAATTCCGGAGTTAGCACAATTTCGGCTTTGGCATACGCCTATGGTCAACCTGGGCAGCAAATTGCAATCGATGATTTTCAGACTTGGGTGAGACAGTTGGATCCTGGAGTTACCATTGGTGGCGTCTCTGCGCTGAAGCGCTTGCTTTTTGAGAGCCAGACACAATTGTTGGCAATTCTGAAGGAGCAGATCACCAACCCTGAGCCCTCAGCAGCTCGTAAAGTGCCGCAAGCAGAGCGAGATGCTCGCCTGACCAACCTCAAGGCTCGTCTCAATGGGGTGCTCATTGAAGGGCACAGTGAGCCAAGTTACTCACTCCTTGACCTGGCTACGCAGTTATTTGACCAGAACATCCTGCGCTTCATCCCCCTTGAGAAATGCTTTAGCAGGTTGACAGAACTCTCATTTTCGAACAAAAGCCAAACCAAGTTGCTGGAGGTGGAAGCATCCAAAGTGGTTTTAAAAGACAAGGACGCTGAGTTTGAATCAGCTGTGCAATCCTCATATCAGGCGCTGGAGGCCTTCAAGCGCCGCGGTCTGGCACTTGAGTTCGCAGGCGTCATGTCATATACGGCTCATGACCGCTATGTGCAAATGCTCTTCGCCCACCTGAATAGGGAGCCGCCAGTTGGGTACAACCGAGTGAGTGTGTCGCAATTGCTTTCAGCCGATAAAGCGGCCTGGTGCTTCCTCATCGAGAAAAACCTGAAACCTCGACCTGATGCTGCCGGGGTAATGCCTTTGAACACAGGATTGGAAGATGCCTTGAAGTCCTACGAAGTCAGTTTTACGCTGCTTCCCATGATCTCGAAGGCACAGCCAAAAGCTGCACCACCCGCACATGGCAACAAAGGTACCGCTGTGCCTGCACAACCGAACTCCAAGGGCCAAAAGAAAGGAAGCTTCAGATCCAAGCCATATGGGTCAAAAGGAAAAGGAAAGAGCAAGAGCAAATTTGAGCCAAGAATCCCGCAACAGATTGGAGATGCTGGAGGCACGGCTTCCACTCCAGATGGTGACCCAATTTGCTTTGACTATTCGCTGAAGCGTTGCAAAGAGCAGGTCACCGATGGACGCTGCCGAAAAGGCTTTCATGTTTGTTGCCTGTGTTACGGTCCACATTGCATGTTGGACCACAAGAAATCGTGACTAGCTCCCACCGCTCACAGCTCCAGAAAACGTAAATTCGCTGCATGTACAGAAGAAGCAGAACAATCTGCTCCAGCGCTGCATGTTTTGCATAAACCCCCATCTTTAAAAGACCGGGAACAAACTCCTGTAGATGGTGCAGCTGATCACTCTGGTGAAACTCATGGTGACCTCAGCCCTGGGTCTATTAGTGACCCGCCTTCTAAGCCAGTTAGCTTTACTGCTAAGCAGCACTTGCCTCCAGAGCCTTGGACTTCGATCATCCTTTGGGGTTGATCACAAACGCCAGAGGCATGCAGGAAAAATTCTTGTGGCCGATTTGACAACCAAGACAGGACAAGACCTATGCTGGTCTTGGATAATGTCACCAAGCTGCATGGGGGTATTCTGTGCACCCCCATGCGGAACCTGTAGCCGCGCACGTGGCATACCAATTCAGCTCTCAAATGGCCTCAAGATTGCCGGGCCGCAACCATTGCGTACTGACCAACAGCCTGATGGTGTTACGCACATGAGTTATGTGAATCGCCAGAGAGTTTCACAAGCGAATATCCTATATAAGTTTGTCACCAAAGTGGCTCTTTTTTGCATTGAAGTGGGAATGCTGGTTGTCATTGAGAACCCTAGGTCCTCTCTTTATTGGAAAACTTCTTTCTTTGCCCCGCTGAAGCGGTTGCTTACCTTTACTGCCCACCAGGCATGCGCATACGGTTCGGAGAGACCAAAATGGACAGCATTAGCCCATAACACCAGGGCACTTCTTCATTTGAATAAGTGCTGTCCTGGCATTTCGAAGGCTCACAGGCACAAACCTTGGGGCATGGTTTACAGCAAAGATTCTGGACGAAAATTTTCCACTTCGGAAGAGACGGCCTACCCAATGCCTTTGGCATATTCCATGGCATATTTTATAGCTCAGGAACTTATTGCCATGGGCTGGAAGCCCCCTGCCATCGAGTTTGCCTCACCCGATACCATGAATTATCAGCATCTCAGGGCCGTCGTAGGACAGCAGCCTAAAGCCAGCAAAATACCACCACTGCTTTCGGAGTTTGCACATGTTCTCCCCATCGCATCCAGCCATAGCCCACCTGTGTCGCCAGGCCAGCAGCTGAAAGCTACATGGAACGGAGCGCCGGTTGGCTCCCGCTTGCTGTCCAGGCCACCATTGCGGTTAAAACGGGGTAATAATCTTGGGGACAATAACTTTGGTACTAATAGTCTTGGGGTCAATAACTCTGAAGGGGATAGTAATGCATCTGCCGACCTGGTCGAACCCACGACCTTTTTCTTTGGTGTGTACCGCACTTGTGATGAATTTGTCAAAGATGCCGTCAGAGCTGGCCATCCTATTGGGAAACAGACGAAGTTGCCTGCCGCCTTACAGGAAGCAGTTGATTTTGTGTCATCCAACACCATTTATGAAGTTGCGAAGCACAGGCACGACACTCTTGCCTTCTGGCTTGAACGAGCCAAGTCGCTTTCTGCCAATGAGACCAAGGTGCATGATGATCTTCATCCTTCTCTGAAAAGAATCCTGGAACCGAAGCGCCTGTTGCTTTGGAAAGAGATGCTTCAGTTTTATGGCTACCCCGACCAAAAAGTTTTTGAAGAAGTTACTGGAGGCACTCGCCTAGCTGGTGCTGCCCCTATTGTTCCTTCGTTCGAGCCTTGTTTCAAGCCTGCAAAGCTCACCTTGCAGGAGCTTGAGGGCACTGCAAAAACTTCTCGTGCGGCGCTGCTTGCAACAGTGAGATCTACTGGGGATGCCGAAATTGATGAGACTGTCTTCCAAAAGACCCTTGAGGAATTAGAATGCGGGTGGCTTGAAGGACCAATTTCCTTCAGCGACCTACCAGACAATGCTGTAGTCAGCCGCCGTTTTGGCATCCGACAAACCTCTGGAGACACCATCAAGATTAGACTCATTGACGATTTTTCAGCATCTGGGGTTAATGATACAGTTCAAGTTGAAAGTGCAGCAAGGTTGCATACGTTGGACGTGGCCGCCGCATTGTGCATGGAGTTGCTTAAAGTTTCTGGAAATCAGCAGTGGTTGGGAAAAACCATTGACCTGTCTTCGGCTTACAGGCAGCTAGGTATCTCCCCAGAATCCAAGTGGGTTTCATATATAGCTGTGTTTGATCCCAAAACTCGAAGACCAGCCTTCTTTGCCTTGAAGGCTTTGCCTTTTGGTGCAAGCAACTCGGTTTACAGCTTCTTGAGAGTGGCGCACTCACTTTGGTGGCTTGGTTGCAAAGCTCTTCGATTAATCTGGAGTAATTTCTTCGACGACTTTATCACACTTGCCCGATCCCAAGAAGCGGAGCTTGTTGAAATCACCGCCCAGCAATTTTTCAAATTGCTGGGGTGGGCAGTGTCGTCAGGAGAAAAAGATCAGCCATTTCATCAAACTTTCAAAGCACTTGGTGTTGAAATTGACTGCACCAAATGGACGAGCGGTATTGTCTCTTTCGCCAACACCAGCAAGCGAGTGGAAGAACTGGTTGCCACAATTGACAAAATTCTTGCCTCGGGAATTATGAGCTCCCAGGAAGCCCTTGTGCTGCGCGGCCGAATGCAGTTTGCTAAGGCGCAGATTTGGGGAAGAGCCTCAAAGCTGTGTCTCAACGCGGTGACTTCCCATGCTTACCATAGCATGGGCAGTGAGCTGGATACCCACACGTTTGATTGCTTGATCGCCTTCCGTGAATGTTTGAGGACTTCAAGGCCCAGGGAAATCACTCCACTTTGGGATGTTCCATTCTTCCTGTTTACAGATGCTTCCTTCAACCCCGAGGAGGAAGATTGGCCATGCGGCCTTGGTGGGGTTCTAGTAAATAGCTGTGGCCAGCAAGTCTCAGCATTCTCATTGCCTCTCATGCCAGCTGACCTCTCAGTGCTTGGATATCCAGAGAAGAGTACAGTAATTTTTGAAGCTGAATTGCTTGCGCTGATCGTTGCGCTCATCATATGGAGAAAAATCTTACGCCACCGACCCTGTGTGGCCTACATTGATAACAACTCAACCCGTGATGTTAGCATCAGTGGCACAGCAAGAACGCAACCTGGCAGATCGTTGGTTTCGCAGCTGCTTGAAGCTGAGGGCGTTGGTGGTATACTTGCATGGTACACAAGGGTTCCCTCCAGCAGTAACATTGCAGATGCCCCTTCCAGGGGTAAAGACGATGGGATTGTCACAAAACTCTTGCCTGTTGAATTGGTGCGTTTGGTTGTTAACAAATGTCTTTCAAAAATTGGGAAGTCCGGTTAAAGTGGGAAGTTGCATGGACAGACCTGGCGCTTTTCAGATGTGATGCTTTTTGGTTTTTTCCGTGAATGCAGATGAATGGCAGTTGCTGCAAAACGAAATGCGAGAGCCCACAAACCGCGGGCCTTTTGGATGTATGTTTTTGCTCATGGCAACATGTGCCATTCCTGGAGCGACCTGACATCGCCCATTGTTGCCCCTCTGGAAAAAAAGCGTGCTTTCGTGAAGCCAGTGTCATTGCACTTTTCTCACATGTGACTTTTTGTTTCAGTTGTTTTTAGTTGGACACGTGTTTTTGGTGTCCTCCGTCTCTCGGAAGTATTGAACTACTTTGTTTTGCGCGGCGACTGAAGCGTTGGTTTAAGCAAACTGTCAACGCGTTGATAGTGCTTTAAACCAAAAGCGAAAGTAGAAAAATTCATGCCGAATTTTTCTAAGCCCCGCAAACAACTCTCCTGCCAAACCGCGCAGCGATGAAATCAAATGCCTTGGTGTAAACCTACTTGAAACCAAACCTACTACCTGTAAACTTACAATCAAAAAGTAACATGCCCGGCTCTTGAAACTAACCAGTTTCAAACCGTGAACAGCTTGTTGCCAAACAACCTTCGAGATGTCACCTGTGCATGTTTCATGTTGTGCAGTTCTCATGTTTTCACGTTCAACATTGTGATGCCTTTTTGGTTTCAAGTAAATTTTCCTTCTCAAGATGGTTTTGTCCCACCCCGTTTTACTCCCACCCTTTTTTGCCCGGCTCTTGGAAAACTGCCGTTTTCCAATCCGTGTATGCATCGGCCTGCCATCACATCACCTTCAATTTCATCTCCAGCTGCCTTTTCGCTCTACAGGACCTAGTGACACCTTTCACTTGCCGCCATCGACCATAGCTTCATGCAGGCGCCAAACATTGTCAATTTCGCTGTTGCTACGTCCATCGGTGTGATGTTCTTTCAGGGCTTGGAGACTGACAACAGGGTCAGGCAGTTCGAAGAGATCGCGGAGGCATGCCTGAGGCTTTTACAGCACCTCGGGCGCCATCCGTATTTGACCTCTGGGTTACAACAACAGCCGCACTTTCGCAGCTGGAACGGATGCTTTTTCCGGATGAGCAGGTCCAAACACCTACTCATCTTGCTGCCCCTCCGGGCTGGAAACCTCTCTCAGCCGTTTGTGACCCTGCGTTCAGAGTCCATGAGGCCAAACTTCGCAAAGCCCGTGAAAACCTTGAGCACTTCCGCACTTGGTTCGGCAGCCAATATGACATTTATTTACACCATGAGACGCTCCATATGCTCGACGATTCTTTATTGTTGTTCCAATCAGCGGAACACTTCCTGCAGCTTCAACCTGTACCAGCCGTACCAGAACCCGCTGAAGTGCCTGATTCCACTGGCGGTGTTGCTCCTGCTCCTTTGGCTACTCAGGACCCTCCGCCTGTTCAAGATGATCCTTGGCATCATGACGGCTGAGCTGGTTTCCTCCGGAAGTTGCATGGACAGACCTGGCGCTTTTCAGATGTGATGCTTTTTGGTTTTTTCCGTGAATGCAGATGAATGGCAGTTGCTGCAAAACGAAATGCGAGAGCCCACAAACCGCGGGCCTTTTGGATGTATGTTTTTGCTCATGGCAACATGTGCCATTCCTGGAGCGACCTGACATCGCCCATTGTTGCCCCTCTGGAAAAAAGCGTGCTTTCGTGAAGCCAGTGTCATTGCACTTTTCTCACATGTGACTTTTTGTTTCAGTCGTTTTTAGTTGGACACGTGTTTTTGGTGTCCTCCGTCTCTCGGAAGTATTGAACTACTTTGTTTTGCGCGGCGACTGAAGCGTTGGTTTAAGAAGGTCTTCAGGTGGTGCACCCAGTGCTTGGCAAGTTGGAGGTGGTGGTTGAAGCTGGATGTTCAATGGTATCACAGTCCACGGCCATGAAGCTCATCGAGGAGATTGAGGCCAAGGCCGTGAAGGTTGTGAAAAGTTTGAAAACGGGGGAGGACTCAGAAGAGGCATGGTTGAGAAGGTTGGCTGATGAACACCCAGCTCTTCAAGGAATCCCTGAGGAGGTAAAGAGAAGCTTGGTGGAGAAGCCTGCAACGGACATCCTACCGTTGGGAAACAGAAGAAGAAGGAAACTTTGGAGGGCGAAGGGTATGATGATTCACGCCTTTTCGGGAAAGAATGAAGGCTACACATTGGGAAGGGCTTTTCATGAGATTGGAGGTGATCGTCGATTGATGTATGAGTTTGACATCACCCATGGAAAGCCTGAAGCAGATCTTCCACCTGAAGGTGAGGCCTACCCGCTCTTGTTGGGCAGCTTTGGATGGATTGGTGAAGGGTTGGATAGCCGGGCCACCATGCAGGACCAGATCGGTTCTCAGACATCTTGAAGTTCCAGGGGAAGCCATGCCGAGGCCCCTGAGAAGTTGGAATGGAGGGGAGTTTGGCATAGAAGGGCTTTCGAACTTTGAGAAAGAGCAGGTCACCTTGGATGACACGTTGCTCATGCGGTTTTTGGTTCTCTACATTGTGTCAGAGACGGTGCGCAGAGCAGCTGGGCTAGAGACACCCACCACTTTGATCCTGGAGCAGCCTGCCTCACCTGAACACAAGCCTGAAGTGGTGTCGCTTTGGAGAACACCTCAATGGAAGAGCTTGGCCGAGATCTATGAGCTGCAGACCCAGCGTTTTGACCAGTCAGAGTTTGGGGCCATAGCTACAAAGCCAACGACTATAGGAGGAAATCTGCCACTTCAAGTACCACTTCAAGGAAAGAAAGGGCAACCACGTGATGTCTCTGGAATGACCAAGGCAGAGATCTGCGAATCGTCCAGGAGATTGTCACGGTGGCCACCCTTGATGATGAGGTCCATTGCTGTTGCTCTCCAAACCTGCACCATGGGCGAAGAGGTCAAGTTACGGGCAGTTTCATGGCAGGAGCACATTGCAGCAGGCCATACTCCTTTTAGAAGAGATTGCAGAGTGTGCCAAGAGGCCTGTGCGCGTGATGCTCATCATCGGCGGCAGAAATTGCCACCAAAGGCGGGTGTCCTTAGTGTGGACATCTCAGGACCTTTCAAAGAAGCACCTGATTTGCAGAAGAAGAAGGCGAAGTATCTCCTGGTAGCCAGCTTCACTTGGACAGCCAGGAACCAAGATGGAGAGGAGGAGGTTGAGGAGATACCTGAAGTTCCCCCAGATGCGCCGGAGATTGAGGATCCAGAAGCAGAGGAGGAGCTACAGCAGATTGCAGATCAGGTTGAAAACCCAGAAGAAGGCCCAAAGGAGGACACATCAGAGGAGCTTGAAGAAAGAAAGCCGGTGAGGATTGAGGTCACCAAGCTTTGCGAGCCTTTGGCATCAAGGAGCCAAGAGGATGTGTCCAGGGCGATCATCAACATGTACATGCGTCTGAGAGCAGACGGGTATCGAGTGACACAGCTGCATAGCGACAGAGGAGCTGAGTTCAGATCGAGGATTTTGGAAAAATGGTGCCTGTCACGCACCATCCTTCAGACGTTTACGCCTGGGGATCAGCCCCAAATGAATGGACGTTGTGAAGCGATTGTCCAGCACATCAAGGCAGCCATCAGGCGGACACTTCATGGAGCTGAAGCACCTTTTGATCGCTGGCCAATTGCAGCTCGCTTCATCAATGAGAAGTTGCGACAGAAGCAGGTTGACAAGGAGAAAAAGACACCGCCTTTTTTGGCGCAAGTTTTGGTCAGAAAGAGGTTTTGGAGATCACGAGAACTGGAACCAACACAGGAGAAGGTCACTTACCTATGTCCTTCTTGGGTTCATCATGGGCATTGGATTGAAAGGGCAGATGGAACTCAGGCGCTGACGAAGATGGTCATGCAGGGCTTGAGTGAACCACCAAAGTTGGAGGATTGGATTGGAGTTGAAGATGCCTTGAACCCAATCGAAGAGAGGAGGAGAATCAGACACAAAGCGTCCATATACATGCTGGAGGTTGAGGACGCCGTGGAAGCAGATGGAACTTGAGAACCAAGAAGGAGATGGCAGATCACCAAGTTTTGAGGAGGAAGAAAAGGATGCATGGGCCAAGAAACAAAGGGTCCAACGTTTGATAGAGGAGGAGATGGTTGAGGCCATGGAAGATGATGAGAAAGTTGCTGGCATGGTGCTGGATTCCATCACCATGGTCAAAGAGTTGATTGGACCTGAGAAAGGAGAAGAAGTTTTGCAGACACGCATTGTGTCACAAGCTGAAGTTCGCCGTTCCATTGAGGTTTGGAGGCCATCCATCGAGAAAGAGCTGACCTCCTTGTTTGAGACGAAAGGGGCGCTGAGAAAGATCACAGAAGCTGAGGTGAAGAAGCTGCTTGACGAAGATCGAGCAGAACTTATCCCCAGCAAGCTGGTCTTCACAGTCAAGCCAGATCAGACCAACAAGGGTGGCAAGAAAAAGACACGATTGGTGGCTTGTGGGAACTTCTCAGAAAGAGAAGAAGGGCAAGATCTCTTTGCAGGCGGAGCATCAGCAGTGGCACTTCGAGCTGCATTGACGGTGGCATCACAATTTGGTTTTGAAGGGAGCGTCATGGATGTGAGGACAGCATTTTTAAATGCTCCAATGGTTTTGTCCGGGTCAAAGGATGAGAATGGGGAGAAGATGGAGCCTAGAAGAGCCATCATCCGCCCTCCTGCTCTTCTCATTTTGGCTGGATTGGCCAAGCCAGACGAATTCTACGAGGTCATCATGGCCCTCTACGGCTACAAGGAGTCACCCAAATTGTGGTCAGACTACCGTGATCAGGAGATTGCAAAGATGGAGTTACCATGCGAGGGTGGCATTTTGACCTTGCAGCAAATGATCACGGAGCCAAACATGTGGAGAATGATGCTGAAGCAACCAGGTCCCAACTTGCAGACGAATGAGGAAGAGTTTGTGGGACTACTTTTGGTCTATGTGGATGATCTTCTGGTCCTTGGTTTTCCCTCATCCATCGCTGCAGTCATTCAAGGGGTGCAGGCGAAATGGGAGACATCGGAGCCAGAGACCATCAACATGCAGAAGGAGGTGAGATTTTTGGGCGCGGAGCTATGGAGAAGAGAAGATGGAGCCTGGTTGATGACGCAGACAAACTACATCAAGGACTTGCTGAAAAGAAATCTTGGAGCAGATCCCACTACGTGGCCGACTAGAAAGATTCCTTTGGTGAAGGAGCCCGAGGTCATTGAAGGTGAGGAGAAGACTCCAATGGCAGTCAAAGAAGCCCAGCGAGTCATTGGTGAATTGGTTTGGATCACTGCCAGGTCCAGGCCTGATTTGGCTTTCACTGTCTCCAAGCTGGCGTCATTGATCACAAAGTCACCTATGCAGGTTGTGCAGTTGGTGAAACCAGTGTGGTACTATTTGGCAGCCACCATGGACCAAGGTTTGATTTTTCAGAACAACATGGGCGAGAAGCAGCTCAATGTGTACACGGATGCATCATATAGCGATATCTCATTTGGATGCCATTTGATCCTTTGGGGATCGTCGCTGTTGCTCTGGAAGGCTGGCAAGCAGCCCATTCAAGCTGCATCGACGGCCGAGGCCGAACTTGTGGAGGTACTTGAAGGAGCATTGGCGGGAGATGCTGTCAAGGTCGTTTTGGAGGAGGCATTGGATGTTTGTGCTAGGTCATTTTCCTACACAGACAGCTCAGCGGCATTAGCCATCATTGCCGGAGATACTGGATCTTAGCGGACACGCCATTTGCGGAAAAGGGCCTTCATTTTGCGCTCAAGAGTTTTGTCTGGGGAATGGATGCTCCGGCATTTGCCTGGAGCTGAGATGCCAGCTGACCTGGGCACCAAAGTTTTATCGGTGCAGAAGTTCAACCAGCACAAAGAAACCATGGGCATGTTTTTGGAAGGTTGGAAAGTTTTGGAAAAGATAGAAGACGGAGAAGCATCACTGGGCTTGCCCAGTGTGTCTATGTGAAACTAAGTAATAGTAGGGTGGGAGGGTGGGGATCATTTCGTTGAAGTGTCTCTGGACTTTATCGCTGGATTGCTGCTGGCATCAAAACACATCAACAGGTTTTTTCAACGATGTTCTTGCTTTGATGATTTCGTTTGTGGTCGTGTACATTTTTCAATTGGCAGATGGGACATCCTTTGGTGAAGCACTGGTCCTTTGAGAGAGTCTTTCAGTTGCTGCTGTGTGATGTTGAAGGATTTCATTTGCTGGGCTTCAACACGTTTATTCAGGACAGTTTTGACTACTTGCTTTTTACTCCTGATCGAAAGTTTCGATTTCCAAGGCAGGTGAGGTGAACTGCTCACAAGTTGCTGGATCAATTTCGATGACACTGAATCTGTTTGTCTTCATGTCCACACTCATCTACATATTTCTTCTGAAGCTCTGGCTGTCATTTCAGATGAGGTAGGTTGGGGCGTTTTCACCTTTCCAAATTTCATTTGGACGTAGTTCCATGGTTTCATATGGAAGTTGAGTGGCCTGGAGTTGGTGAAGGGATCTTAGGATTTCTCCAACGTGTGTACATCACACCCTGGCGGCTTGATGCAGCATTTGATGACAATGAGGGGTGCTTGGAAATGCTGAGCAGCGAATTCCCTGACATGGTCGAGGAGGAGCTTCAAGACGCAGTTGCAGCATTGATGCACTGGAAGACTGCCAATGCAAGGCCACTCAAGAGGTTACGGAAGGGTGTCGTCAGTTCTGCATTGTTTGTACTGCCTCAACCCAATGTTTTGAATTTGCATGATGAATTTCAGCGTCTTACAAAGACAAGCGTACAGTGTATCTTGGAAATGCACTCGAAGAGGAAGCAGCAGAAGTACCGTGAGGATCCTCCAGATGTCCGTTCACGGAGATTTGAATCTGAGAGGAAGAAGTACTCCTTGCTCTTGGCTCAGGTGATGATCAACGCTGACCTTCCGGTGGTTGGCCTAGTGAAGGCCCTTGATGATCCGAATGCAGCTTGGGTGCACATTTTTGCAGCACGCCGGGCAAACACCTTGAAATCGCGTTACAAGGTATGGAAGCCGTTTGAACGATGGCTGGAACTCCACAGGGGATACTTGTACCCCAAGTCCATCAAGGATGTGATCGACTACATGCAGCACCGTGTTGACGATGGGTGTGGAAGGACAGTGCCAGAGTCCTTCAGCATCACCCTGGGGATGTTGGAGCAGCTTGGCCGGGTCCCTGAGACTATGAGGATCTCGGATGACCCATTGTGGAAGGGTCACATCAAATCTTGGACGGCTGAGTTATGTGAAGATGCAGCACCACGAAGGCCAGCAGAGATGTTCACGGTGGCGATGGTCATTGCATTGGAGCTGGTGGTCATGGACAGCACAGAACCCATTTTTGCGAGGGCGCTTTCATGGGTCTTGTTGGTCATGGTTTGGGGGGCTATGAGGTGTGATGATGTTCAGGCCATCATACCGAGGAGGTCCTTCTTGTCAAACTATGGCCTGAAGCTCATCCTTGGAAAGTCAAAGACGACTGGCCCTGACAAGGTTCAGAAAGAAGTGGCAGTGCATGTCTTCAGGACAACTTCGTTGACAGGGGAAGACTGGCTGAGAACTGGTTTTGAAATTTGGGAGTCTGAGGAGTTCAACTTCCAGCGGGACTACATGGTGATGGAACCCTCCAAGGACTGGCAGAAGGTGAGGAGGAAATTTGTGACTCCTGCTGGATTGAGCTCTTTGATCAGCAGACTTCTTGGGAGGCTCCCATGCCCACGACGTTCAGGGCTTGGATGGGAACAGATGCCACACGTGCTGTTGCTGCCGGACGGTTTGGGGAGTTTCTTTTCAGGCCACAGTGCAAGAAATTTTCTTACTTCAATTGCTGCAGTGGTTGGATTCACAAGAGACGAGAGAGCATACCTTGGGAGGTGGTCTATGTGGATGGTTTCCTCAGAGGAATATGTTCGCACGGCCCGTCAAGTGATCTTCAAGATCCAGAGGTCTGTGAACAAATGCCTTGTTGAAGGCGGCAACGAGCCTTATCACGAAGATGAGGCCATCCAGAGGCTTTGCGACGCAGCAGAAGGAGCTGGGGCCAATCCGAACAGGATCAGGAAGCGGCACACAGTCATGGGCAATTGGTCTGGGGTGCACTCACTTGGTGGCATTTTCCCGACGCTGGAAGTGGCAGAGGGTGACTGGCCAAACATGATGGATGACGCTGAGGGCGACATCGGGCTTCACGAGAAGGTTGCAATGCTGGCACAGAAGGAGAAGTTGGCCCAGTCGGAATCGACAAAGTATTTTGTCACCATCTCCAGGCGCACCTGTTTGAGGCGTCTCCACCTCAGTGGATGCTTTGTCAAACCTGACAGGTGCTGTGAAGTTGTTTTCTTGGACCAAGTCAGCAATGATGACTTTGACACAGTTTGTCAGGGCTGTAAGAAGCGAATGCTGGCTGAATGTGGCAGAGAAACGGGGGACCAGTCCTCTTCAGTTGCTTCCTCCTCTTCAACCGCTTCTGGGAGCGAACAAGGCGCAGAGCCTTAGTGATTGGATTGGTCCGATCTGTGGAGAGAAAATGATGTCACCTTGAGCATTCCTTTCAGTCGGTCATTAGGATGTGGTGTTTCCTTTTCGGCAGTTCCTTTGTTAGGCTTCTTAGGTGTCGAGGTCGGATTCATCTGTCTCTCTGTATTGAAGGTTGTTCTTTGTAGTTTTGTTGGGTTGACGTTGAGGCTTTTTAGGTGGCAAGGTCTTCTCGCATTTTTGATTTGAATCTTCATTCAAACAGTTGTGAAGTTGGTGACATTTTCATGAATGGATGGGTTTGGACCCAATCTCTTTTAGATGAGATCAGATTGGCGTTTGGACGCAGAGGGGGTTGAAAGTGCATGTTTGGACATGCCGCTGCTGTTGGTGACACGATGGTTCAGACCTTGGGGTACCATCTAAATCGGCACATTTGCAACTGCAGAGTTCACATGTGATTGTCACCTAGGGTTCCTTCCAATTGCTTGTGTGTTGTTGTGCATTGCCTGTTTTATTCCCCCTCGACCCCAATGCCAGTTTTGAGGCCAGGGCAGGAATTTGTGACCCTCAGCCAGGTTTTAGGCATTGGGCTTGTTGATCCCATTTCTGCACATTTCATTTCACCTGCGCTGTGGCCTTAACTGTCCACTTGTGCTGAGCCATGGATCCTGTAGCACAGAGACAATTTGTTCATGCAAACATGGATGCAGATTTACAGTTTATCTTGGGCGAAGCTGGCGTTAGTCTTGAGCATCAGGTTGGGATTGCACGCCATTATGGCAACCTCAGGAAATTCAGTGCGCTTGGGGATGACCGAGCGGCGATCAGGACTGCATGTTCACATGATTTTGCAATTGTTCAAGACACACCGGAACGACGTTCACAGGTGGCTTCAATCGTTGCAGCTTGGGAGACAGCAAAGGAATACCTGGCTAAGGAAGTCGAGTTGAAGGCAGAGGCAAAGGTCTTAGGACAACCCAGAGTGCTGCAGATTCATGAGAGGCAAGCAATGTTGAGAGCTGTCGAGGCTGTCCATGGAGTCCTGGGTGATCAGGAATGCCGCTCCTCGGACTACCTGTCGATTAAGGCAGAGGAGACTGAGTGCAACGAGCCGACAGCTGCTCCCTTAGATGAGATCCTTTCCAAGCATGTTTCGTCGAATTCCCAGATTCAGTCAGCTGTGGATTCTTCTGGACACATTAGAGTGACCAGGACCAAGACAAAAGGGAAGATGCCAACCACAACTGAAGACTTTCGAAAGGTCATGAAGGTTGAGACATTTGTCTGGTTGTGCATGGCGTCCAGGTACCGAGCAAAACACTGGCTACATGGTCTGACGGCTGAGCCCTTCCAAAAGTTCACAGAATATATTTTGGGAGACAGGGTGTTTGGAATACAGATCCCGACTTCCTCCTCTGAGTCAGGACAACAAAAGGTGAAACCTGACTGGTCCATTGTGCTTGCATACGAGCACAAACTGAGGAAGGAGGCCATGAAACGAGTTTTGGAAGGACACACATTGAGTGATGCATTGCTTGCTGTCATTCGTGACCCTGATTTGAAAGAAGCTTACTTCACTACGCCGGTTGCCCTCAAATCAGCGATGTCTGAAACTCAGTCTCAGCCGAACAAATGGCAGAGATTCAACAGTAAAGGTGGTTTCAGTGGCAAGCAGTCGCATGGTTTCAGCAAGGGTAAGGGCAAGAATTCAAAAGGGAAATCAAAAGGCAAAACAATGGACAGTCGCTTGAAAGGGCTTGGGCTTGCTTGGAGGACCCCAGATGGACGTGAATTATGTTTTGCTTGGAACAATGGTGACTGTGACGGGTCATGTGGCAGGGTACATCAGTGCCGAGTCAAGGGCTGCTATGGCTCACATAAGGCTGTCGACCACTCAAAGAATCAAAGTGCGTCCTGACAGGACATGAGTGCGGCCCCTCCCAGCAGGGCTGCACGTGACACCCTGCCACTTGTGAAGGTGGTCTACCTTTTCGCTGGGAAACGTCGCCATTCAGACGTTGCGGCATTCTTGAAGAGAGCTGAGACGGCTGGACGGATCAGGCTTGAATTGCATGAATTTGACATTGAGAGGTCGCCACAACATGACCTTACAGATACATCCTTATGGGATCAGATTTACAACACCCTCGGAGAGGGGAATTGGGTTTTGATCGTGTCACCGCCATGCAACACTTTCAGTCGAGCACGTTTTCAACACAGGCAACACCCTGGGCCAAAGCCACTCAGGACACGCGTTTGGCCACGTGGTTTTCCATGGCTAAGCGCTTCAAACAGGGCAAAGGTGGACGAGGCCAACACTTTTGTGGAACGATGTGTCAAAGCATGCCGTTTGACTGCAGAAGCTGAGGGATGGTTCATTTTGGAGCACCCAGAGGACTTGGGTACAGTGGAAGGCGAACAACCGGGCTCAATTTGGCAGTGGCCTGAGGTACTGGAGTTGATTCCAACTTGTGGGGCCACATCATTTGCAATACACCAGTGCAAATTTGGAGCACCAACGCCAAAGCCCACTCGGTTTATGACTAATATGGATGTTGATGACAACAGATGTTACCTTGCGTTGCCAAAGTTTGACAAGCTTGGTTGTTACAAGGGCCCTTTACCCAAACAATGCGGACACGTCCACACACACAAGTTGATTGGAAAGACAGCGGCCCAGTGGAACACTAGCCCCAGCGCGGCTTATCCTGCAAAACTGTGTGAATTTCTGGCAGATTTGATCCTCCATGCTTGCGCATCCTACGGAAGGGGCCACAAGGACAAATCTGACAATAGGAAGAGGCGACATGATGGAGTTGACAAGGCTTTACAGTCTCCCCCCAAAAAGGCCAAGACATCAGCAGAGCATGTGTCAGCGGAGCATGTGGTAGACTTGACAGCAGAGGAGGACCAGTCCCAAAGTTTGGTTGGGAAGGATTGTGACAGAAACTGAACATGATCCTGTTGCGGATGAGGGGGCAGGAGTTACAGATATTGGCAGTGCAGAAGATGTCCAATTTGAATTGTCTGCATGCATGAACGCTGGGAGACCGATCACAGTTGAATGGGATAGGAGTCAGAAAGACTTCACAGATGGTTTTGGCCTATGCAGCCCTGCTAGGTGGAAGCCTCCCCAACGAGGTGCGCGCAGGACTGGAACCATGGTGAAACTGGCAAACGATACCTTTGACATTTTTGCAGAGGCTGTCAGGGCATCAATACCTGACTTACGCAGGGAGGCTTTCAAGTTGGTCACAGGGAAACTGGTTGGGTCGCCTTTTAGCAATGAGGCGCTATCGAAGGTCAGAGACAAGTGGTTTGCGTTGCTCCCAGATCCACGTGATGCAGCTATCGTTGACAGTGGTCAGCCATTTTACCTTCGGGCACTTGCTCAATGGCTCAAGGTTTTTGAAGACCCAGATGCCAAGTGGTTGGTTGAGGAGGAAGAGTCATTTGCGACTGGAGTTTGCTTGGGAGTCGAGAAACCACTTCCAAGGTCCCCACAGGTATGCCAGCAGAAACTAAAGCATAGGCGTTTGGACGAGACAGAGTTTGCAGCCATCGCACAGAACTATCCATCTGCGCAGCTTTCATCAAAAGAGTTGGAGGACAAGTTCAGGGAGGAGGAATCACTTGGGAGGATGCATCCTTCAAAGATGGGGGTGCTGAAGCAGGAATACGGGAGCAAGTTGAGGGTGGCATCCATGGCCGCCATCCAAAAGCCGGACGGGAGTGTTCGTCCACTTCATGATGCAACTCATTCTGTCATGGTCAATCATGCCATCAAGTATCAGGACAAGATTGACTGTCCGGGCCCCGCAGAGATAGCTTCCATTGTGAGGGAGACATCAGAGACTGGAGAAGCCCCTTTTTGCGTGAGTGCGGATATACGGGCTGCACACAGACTGGTGAAGGTCAGGAAGGAAGACTGGGGTTACATGTGTTGCAAAGCAGATTCGCAGTCTGACACCGTCTGGGTTAACAGGACGGGAACCTTTGGAATATCGAGCGCTCCATACTGGTGGTTCAAGCTTGCGGGACTTTTGGGAAGGTTCAATGGATACATGTTTCATAACCGCTGGTTTATGCACATGATTTACGTTGACGACCTTCACGGAGTTTTCACTGGTGAGAGGAAGTTCCTCTATTTGTGGGTCTGGTTACTTGCCTATGAGGCAGCAGGCACCCCTTTTGGGTATCACAAGTTTAAGGGGGGATTTGCTTCGGAGTTTGTTGGATTCCAGATAAGGTACGATCTGACACAGGTCGGGATTTCAAAGAAGCGTGGTGACTGGATCTTGCAGTGGATCAACAATGCAAAGCAGAACCGATACGTGGTGCCAGCCAGAGATTTTATGGAGTTTCTTGGAAGGCTTGGATTTATTTCACAACTTTTGTTTTGGCTTAAACCTCACCTTGCGCCACTCTTCTCCTGGTCGGCGGTCACAGCTCCAGGCACAGTGTGCCGATTGCCTGACACAGTGATTCTGACGTTGCATTACATTTCTGGTGAAATGGTGCGAGAAACATTCCTGGTGTCGGCGCGTAGGCCGCTGTATTTTCAAGATGATCAATTTCGGACGGATGCCAAATGCACGGACACTTGCGTGGTATTGGCTGGATGGGAGTTAAGTACGAAGAGATGGTTTTCTTTGAAGCTGGGATTGACGGAAGTTCCGTATCTGTTTAAACCTGGAATGGGCGCCCAGTGGGCATCAACATCAGCGGAGCTGTTAGCGACTTTGGTTGCTTTACAAGTTTTTGGTTGGCTGGAGACTGGGAAGGGGAGAAGAGCGATTGAGATATCTTTGTTTGGGGGGACTGACAATCGAGCGAATGAGTGTCTTTCTGAAAAACGCTCTACAACAAAGTGGCCGTTGATGGGGATCAACATGCAGTTATCATCCTCATTGTCACGTTCCAGACTGAGCTTGGGTTTGAGATGGAGACCCAGGGAAGAGAATACAGAAGCAGACCGTCTTACAAATGAAGACTTTACTGGCTTTGTGGCTGAGCAGAGAATCGAGGTGCGGTGGCAGGATTTGCATCTGGAAGTTTTGGAAGACATGGTTCAGACCAGGAATGCATTTGAGCTGGCCAAACAACAAGCGAAAGATGCGGCCAAGCAGGCACCCAAGGTTAAGTCGAAAAAGTTCGACAAATCACCATGGTGAACTTGGATGGAGGTTGAGTCCCATTTCCTCCACTAAAGATGGGGCTACAAAAATTTGGAGTTCAATGGGACTTACAATACAATGCGTTTCAGTGATCAATGGCAAGGTTTTACAACCTCCACATTTCTTTCTGGCAGATGTGGATTTGTGCTGTGTGCACTTTGGTTTGAGATGTGCTCGCTGAATCTTTTGGGCACCCCTCGGAGAGGATTGTGCGTAAGATCTCACCACCACGGAAAAAAGGTGAGAGAGCGAAGTTCCGCGTTCACCATTACAGTTTCGGATTTGCATTCACATTTCAGTTTCAGTTGCTGTACATGTCAGTTGATGTTGCTTGACAGTTTCTTCACTGCTGTGGTTCTTGGTGTTGGTTTCAACGGCGCGTTGTTTGTTGGCGCTTCGCGTTGGTATCGCGTAAGTTTCCCTTCAATTGGTCCCCCTCTTACTTTACTATTATTTAGTGTAGCGTAGGCATCACTGGGCTTGCCCAGTGTGTCTATGTGAAACTAAGTAATAGTAGGGTGGGAGGGTGGGGATCATTTCGTTGAAGTGTCTCTGGACTTTATCGCTGGATTGCTGCTGGCATCAAAACACATCAACAGGTTTTTTCAACGATGTTCTTGCTTTGATGATTTCGTTTGTGGTCGTGTACATTTTTCAATTGGCAGATGGGACATCCTTTGGTGAAGCACTGGTCCTTTGAGAGAGTCTTTCAGTTGCTGCTGTGTGATGTTGAAGGATTTCATTTGCTGGGCTTCAACACGTTTATTCAGGACAGTTTTGACTACTTGCTTTTTACTCCTGATCGAAAGTTTCGATTTCCAAGGCAGGTGAGGTGAACTGCTCACAAGTTGCTGGATCAATTTCGATGACACTGAATCTGTTTGTCTTCATGTCCACACTCATCTACATATTTCTTCTGAAGCTCTGGCTGTCATTTCAGATGAGGTCCCGCCCGACCCAACCCTTTGTTTTAGGGTCGGTTGTGGCCGTTCCTTGCGCACAACCTGTACATCAACAGACAAAACAGGGGCTACAAAAATTTGGAGTTCAATGGGACTTACAATACAATGCGTTTCAGTGATCAATGGCAAGGTTTTACAACCTCCACATTTCTTTCTGGCAGATGTGGATTTGTGCTGTGTGCACTTTGGTTTGAGATGTGCTCGCTGAATCTTTTGGGCACCCCTCGGAGAGGATTGTGCGTAAGATCTCACCACCACGGAAAAAAGGTGAGAGAGCGAAGTTCCGCGTTCACCATTACAGTTTCGGATTTGCATTCACATTTCAGTTTCAGTTGCTGTACATGTCAGTTGATGTTGCTTGACAGTTTCTTCACTGCTGTGGTTCTTGGTGTTGGTTTCAACGGCGCGTTGTTTGTTGGCGCTTCGCGTTGGTATCGCGTAAGTTTCCCTTCAATTGGTCCCCCTCTTACTTTACTATTATTTAGTGTAGCGTAGCAGAATGAAACCACTTTTGGGATGACACAAGAAGCACGTGAGAAAGCGTTGAAGATCATCATTTTGGTGACAAAATTGGCGCTTGCAGGAGCATCGAATGAGGAGAAAAAAGATATTTCAAATGCTTTGGTCATTCAAGACCTCAATCCAGTTTTGCAGCAGAGAGACGGTCAGTTTTATTTCATCATGTTTGTGGCTGTGATCCTTTTTGCCGGTTTCATCATTGGAGCATGCGTCATGGGCATTTTCATGTGGCACAGAGTTGACAAGCTCACTGTTGTCAAATACAAAGGTTCATTGCTGAACGTGCCTGCGTTTTTGTGGCATGCGCCAGAAAGAGATGAGGATGAAAGAAATCAGCAGCAACGTGATCCAACTGTCAGGCCAAATTGGTTGCCTTCTACGGCTGCTGGCGCTGCGGGCGCTTCACCTACGGCTGTTGGCCGTGCTGCTGGCGCTGCGGGCGCTGGATCTGCGGCTGCTGGCGCTGCAGGCGCTTCATCTACGGCTGCTGGCCGTGCTGCTGGCGCTGCAGGCGCTTCATCTACGGCTGCTGGCCGTGCTGCTGGGGCTGCGGGCGCTTCATCTAGTGCTGCTGGCCGTGCTGCTGGCGCTGCGGGCACTTCATCTACGGCTGCTGGCTGTGCTGCTGACGCTGCTGGCGATGGAAATACGGCTGCTGGCCGTGCTGCGGGCGCTGCATCCACAGCTGCTGGCAGTGCTGATGGCGCTCCAAGAAGTTATGGAGCATCTGGCATTCCTAGCGCTGCAGCTGGCGCGGCAGATGGCGGCGCAGCGGCGCGTGAGCCGGCGAACATGTTGAGATCAAGAGGATCTCGTTCCCAAAGAGGACCAAAACCCCTTTTCACCACGCCATTTGGTGGAAGATACCACTGTGACCGTGAATGCCATGGTCTTAGACATGCCAAGGAAGTTTGTCTGACGCCACGATGTCACAGATGTGGCCCACAGTCAGACGTTCCCCAACATAGGCTGTATGCGATCTCACACATGGATATGCACTTCATGTTGATTATGAGCATTGTCGTGATGCGGGATCCAATGGTCCACTTCGGGCCTTCAATCCATGTGCGATTTGCTGCACTGCAGATGATAGACTTGTTTAGAGGGCTTGAGCTGAATATGTGGTCAGTGGAACTGATCACATAGGGGGAGTGCGTGTGAGAATTTCATGCATCCCTATTTATCCAATTCTCAAATGGAAATACTTCCACTTTTGCTTTGACTACTACCCAACGGGTGTAGTCAGACTACTACCCTCCGGGTGTAGTCTAGGAATCTTGAAGAACCTGCATCTG